TTTCTAGGCATAGGCGTCCCTTCCGTGCCATTCGTCGTTACCCTACCACTTAAACGGGTGTTGTTGCTTTACGTTTATACAGATGACAAAGCAAGACAAAAGCTACAAAGAAAGACGAAAGTAAGGAGGCGTGTTGGCGAAACATTAACATACAAATATATCGGCAATGATTCATTGATCTCTGTAAACTTCAAATTTCTACAGCATTACTGCAACGCCCATAGAGACAGAGAAATCAGCAATACTGTCCGATGAAGACGAATTCATGGTTGTGGATGATCCCGTAAAGGAACGGGCGATCGGCACGGAATATTGGGAAGATGTTACGAAGAGTGAACATTCGTTTCGAGATTGTCTGGGCAAGTTCGTCAGGTTCACTGCCTTCCTCATCGACCTGTAGGGAGACGGACCGTAAGTCGACGAGCTCAAAGAAGGAGTTAGGAAAAATCAAGCAAGATCTCTTCGAAGAGAACTTTTTTAGAAAAATTCCAACCAATAATACCGACTCTCCAAGAACGACAATTTGGGAAGCAATAAAGTTTCCCCTTATACCGGTCGCATCACTTGGGAATTGATTGAGCCGGCGTAAAGCAGACCCCTTAGCGGCTCACAGTATGGTTTTGAATACAGATTGGACACGGTAATGGTAACTATTCAACAGTAAGCTCATACCGGATATAGGGTTAGTGCTCCAAAAGTATCTTGCAATACTGATTAGTTCACGAATTTTGCGACACACATAGTGAAAAAGCAAACCTCAATGACGGCTTGATGAACGACGTCTCCGACGTAGAGCTCATCCGGTGATACTCCTTTTAAGTCACAAGCATCACCGCTGAAGAGCTCCGTGACTCCCAACTTTTGCAACATATCTTTCATATCCGGTGACGAGGACAGCTTGAATTTTGGAATGGTGACCTGAAAATTGTGAACTTAAAGCAGTGATCACGACGGCTGAAGAGTGGGGTGGTTTCGATGACTTCTAAACATCACCGGATCAACCCCTAACCGCTGGGCTGTTGTTGGGACCGCCTCTTACAAGGGAGGTCTTTCAGGGCAAGGTGCGCTTTTTCAAAACGGTTTTGTGCATATTGTAGGGACGCATGTAGGGAACGCAAAACCATGTTTCATTTTCGCTGAACGGTTATAGCAGTACCAAAAAAGAAGCATAAGGTACTGTTAAGGGTTCGATCCCCGTGGCGACTAAATTTTGCATTTGGGTTGGCGCCTACGGTTTGGTGCCAAATCGCGCTAAATATCAAAATCAGATGTCAAATTCATCGTCAGGACCATTTTGAAGCCAACAAGTGGCCGCCAACCTTGATTGCAAAATTTAGTCGCCGCGGGGATTGAACCATCAAGAGTATTATTCACCACTTTTTTGGTACTACTAAAACCGTTCAGCGAAAACGAAACATGGTTTTGTGGTCCATACATGCGTCCCTACAACATGTACTAAACCGTTTCCAAAAAGCGCACCTTGCCCTGAAAGACCTCCCTTGTAGGGCCCCTCCACCAATGACCTTCAACGAGGACGTCATCAAAATCGCTTAATCCTCCAGTCATCTCGATCCCCGCCTCTAACTCCCTTTAATTGACTGACATAAGTAACTCAAAATTTATTGATCATATTGGTGCACGCTAAATCACTTCTCATAACTCAGGGCCGAAACCTGATGGAGATCTTTGTGCACTTTCAAGGCAAGCTTAAATGCTCATGGGATATTGATAGAATGAAGTGAATAAGTCCTCCATCCGTCAATTATTTCAGGTATTTGTTGGAAACGATTACGCCTTGAACAAATTTCTAACAGAACAAGCTTCAAAAGGACTCACATTCACTCCACTGTGCGTCTTTTCAGCTTTGTCTACAAGTTCTTTGATCTTATCACCAGTAAATCCTTCTCGAAATTGCGCGAACGGAACATCCTCTTGTGGGAGGAAAATGACAAATTCGTAGTTATTGTCCTGGAAACACAATATAATACATTGAAGTAAATTTCAAAAACGCAGGAATCTCGCATTTACACTTGAGGTCGGCAAAGATACAACAGCTATGACGCGCATCGAGCTGTTTCGGTGCTTGCGAAAAGCTGACCACTGCCCTGACAAAGGTAATTAACCCATTGCGGACCGCGCCACCACACAGAACATGGTAAATATTTTAGAATTATTTACTACAGTCTAGGTTACAAAGTCATCATCAGCTTTTTTCCTCCACAGAACCCCATGGAGGTGCTCAAATGAGGGCGGTGCGCAATGAGTTAAAGGCACGGCCCGGGATCAGATCCACAGAACAATTCTCTTCATGTTGTGGTTTCCCAAACACAGAGGTGATGACACGGACGCGGTTCGAAATCACGCGACAAGGGCACCAAGGCTAGCTTTGAGGGTACCCCCAGGAGGCCCGTCGCGCGGCAAGAAGGCAAAGTCAGCGGACGAGTCGCGCGCGTACTATAGGGATTTCGCGTCAAGTTAAATAGAGTGTCCCACTGCACGTCCTACATCGCACATCACGCGCTGCAACTCGTCCGCCGACTCTGCCTTCTTGCCGCGCGACGGGCCTCCTGGGGGTACCCCAGCTTTGATGACGACCGCTGCCATGTTTATTGGTTCGCAACAGCATGTATCGCTTTTTCGAACGACAGGCTATCTCGTGTATACCCTCTTCTCGTAACCGTGTCTCTCGTACCACGGTCGATGGAGAGACAACGGTGGCGAACGGTTCATGAGGAAATGATGCCTTGAATTTCAAAGCTTCCTATGGTTCCTTTTGCTTTTTCCTCGATGACGGTCCTCTTTACTCCTCGTTCTTTATTACCGAGCGAAATGAACACCGATTTTGTCGCGGGCTGTGCCTTTTAGGTAGAATAGTACTTCAGGTTCATTATCAATGACTACGCCCAAAAGTAGGAGCTACAGTGCCTGAACTTTGTGTGATTATCTTGGTTGGATGGCTGCAGGCTAGCCGTGTAAAAAGAAAAACTTGACGCACGCTCACCTTATACGGTAGTGCTAGCATTTCCACTCCTTCGGCCACGTTATAACGACATTTCTTCATCTTGTTCATGTTCATGAACGACTCCTGTAAACGTTGCGATTCAAATTACACATTCTATTGATTGTGATATCATTCTGAGGTGACGCAGTGGCTAGAGGCGCCGATATCGCGTGCATATCTTACACGATGGAATCTCGCTCAACGCAACTTCAGAATTTCATCCATGTGGGTTCACTTGACTGACGTCGGGCCTCTTCGATTATTTGGGAAGCTTTTAGTAGGACTGCCACATAGCTAATAACTTTTGAAAGCCGTGGTACATTATGGAAAACCTGCCAACATTGCATTTACTCCTTTGTTGCTACTTTCATTCATATTTACTACGTTTCCCACGTGGGACAAATAACAAACATTTTATTTTCCAGTTGCTCGAGATGTATAGAAAAGTTGATGCAAACCTCTCGATCGCCTTTGATACCATGGAAAACATCTTTTTGAGTGGCATCTTCTGAGAAACGATCGGCCCATTGTCCTTTGAAGTAGACGGCGTTGACCAAGAATGCCTTCATGTCTGGTGCAGAGAAATCGTCTGATAACAACTTTTTGAGCATTCCACGAGTAGCATCCGAGACAAAGTTGTTCACCGTCTGAAATACATAAATAATTCATAGGTCATTTGAACAGATAGTAGTCTGATTCAGTTCCCCTCCTGTGGACAAACTGTTGGCCTGACCAAGGATGACCAAAGGAAAACCAGCAAAAATAGCGTCCTACACAGCTTGCATGAACTATCTTTACAGCGTTTTCTTACCATTTTTCACTGAGAAAAAGAGTCCAGTTCATTCTCGTTTTTGATTTGTTAGCGTCCTCCGGAAGGAGATGTGGTGGGAGATGACCCTACCAAGCAAGCTATTCGAGCTCAAATCCCAAATCCAATTCCGTGTCTACCAAGCGTTCTACCCTTCCCCTTCGACGTTGGTCATTGGCCTCTGAAAGTGCGGGAAGATACACGTTCCGCAGCGAAGAGCATGCCCTCATCGGAGTAACAGAACCGTAGCACCATCTCGTCGTGTGACTCTAGCCGCTCCAGCAGAGAGGGAGAATGTGTGTGGCAGTGTCGATGAGGACAACACCGATGAGATTCGGCTAACGCGGCAGCAATCAGCGGGCGAATAACAGGTGCCATTCCTCGGTAACAGGCCGTTTTTCTTGCCTTTCCTTCACCTCTGCATCGCTGACGATCTATTCCTTGCCGAGCTATCTTTTCATCGTATACTCCGCCTTTGAAGGGTTCGTCTTCGAGAATAAAACGGTGAGTTGTCATCAGCTGACCCCGCAACTTAAGGATTGATCGCATTCAAATGCCAGCATGTATTGAGACACAAGTAGAATGAGTAGCAGATTCCAAAGATGTATTGGTAAAGTCTTTCCCTCTTATGTTGCTCCCACTGAAGTGAAATACTTCGACTCCCCTACCAATTCCCTCTCAACATTAGACGAACCGGCAAAAATAGAGAAAAATGATAGAGACCTGGACAGTAAGTTTCTGATCACGGAAGTTGAGACGTTCTGCAGTCACATCAAAAGTTCTTCGACACTTGGTTGTTGTACTCCTCGTGAAGGGTGGTAGCTGAAAACTCAGAGTTGAAAAATAGAAAATTGGGTGGTCATACCAAAAAAAAAACAATTTTGTACCGCCAAAGCAGAAACAAGAATGCGTAAAACAGAACTACTGGGATGATCACAGGGGGTTGGTAGCTGGGACAGACAGCGAACCTTGCTCATGGGTGAACCTGGCACTCGCAGTGA